CCGGGCGGCTCCTCCCGCGGGGCCCGGGCGGCGGTCGGAGCGCAGCGGCGGTGCCCCCCTCGTCGCTCGGTCTCAGGTAACCCGCACCTCACCTCAGCCACGGCCCCGCAGGGACCGCCCCTCACCTCACCCCCCTCCAGTGGCCTCCTGCCCCCCTGAGGCCCGTCCGCGGGCAGCGGGGAACTCACCCGTCCATTGCACACGGAGGAGACCCGTAGGGAACGGAGCGAAGGCGCCGGAATAGCAGGAACGAACCCAACGGCTCCGTGTTATAGACTCACAAAATGGCGGCGGCGCCCGGCCCGCCTCACCCGCGCCGCCCCCCATTGGCTCCCGGGGTTGTCACCCTGACTAGCGAGGCGGGCATCCCCCGCCACCGGGGGAGGGCTCCGGGGCTCCTTCTGTGAAGCTCATTGGCTGCCGGAGAGTTTCGGGGCAGGGCAAAGGGGGGGCGTGCGGCGCCATTGGAGAAGCGGCGGGGGAGGCCTCTTCAGGGGCGCCATCTTGAGAGCGGGAAAGAAGCCCATGCGCCACACTGGAGCGCCATCTTGGATGGGGGCAGGAAAAAAAACGGAATCAGGCTACTGGGAAGCCATCTTGAATGCGGGCGAGAGCGCCAACGTGCACATGGAGTCGCCATCTTTAGGATGGGTCAGAGACTCACGGAGGGAGCCATGTTGAATGTGGGTACACTGTTGAAAAAGTTTGCCGGCCCTACTGAGCATGGGCAATGAAACCAAAGGCGTCATTCCGCAGCCATCTTGAGTAGGGGCACAAAGCAAAGGGGCCTATGCCAGGTACAAGTTAGTGTGCAGCATGGGGGATTCCTAAAAGGCAGTGATCTAACGTGCACTTGGCTTGTTCCTTTTAAAATTACACTTATTAAAAATGAACCCATCCAAATCAGTTTGCATGGAGAGGATAAGACTTTTTTCAGATGCCGGAGCAGAACCAAGACGTGCAAAACACTTATCTGCTCCACCCAGGTGACAGGATGCTTACCAGAAGGACTGATGTTTACACCCAAAATCTCCCTTCCTCCATCTATCCTAACAAGTACCCAACAGTTCATTCCTTCCTCTTTGCTGCATGTGTATAGGCCATGATTCTGCAACAATTCACATCCCTGTGCCCAGGTGGAGTCCCTCTATAAGCTCCTTCAGTAGGGACTTTATTAGTATTTTGTCTCTACACTGCACAAAGCCCCATAAGGCCCCGATTCTGATCCACCTTTGCACATCTGTTAATATGTGTCTAGTATTGGAAATATCTATATGTCCAGCATTGCCAGCTCATGATTTTTGGCATTGTTCTTAAAGTCTATGCTTCAGGAATGGGAACAATTTAGCTCTTTCTTTTATACATATCTATAACTATAAATATATATCAAAGAAAGAGCTAAGTTGTTCCCATTCCGGAAGTGTAAACTTTCAGAACAAGCTCAACAATCATGAGAGTTGGCAACGCTGTATGTCTCCTCTAGCAATTACAAAACAGGAGTGCTAGAATAGACCAGGGCCAGCAACAGAAAAATCTGACCTGGCTACGGCAGCACGGCAGCAACTATTGCTAGTGGTATGAGGTTAAAAAAGAAGAAGGGTCTAATATAGATGAAGCTTAGGGGCATATATGTGCCTTATAGACTGTCCTTCGAAGCTGTGACGGGCATGTTGGGCAAATACTGACATGGAACTATGCACATTTCTTAATGCTGCCAGATAACAGAGGGCGGGCAAAATAAAGGTAGAAAAGCTATAAAAATTCTGGAACAAATCACCACTTCCTCTTACACACAGATCACTCTGTTGGTGGTTGCTGCCAAGGTCTCAGTGTCCCACAACCATCTAGGGGAAAGAAAGTAAGTTCTTACCTATTATTACTTCCTTGTATCACAACAGTGTCCAAAGGTCCCAACTGAAATCAAAGCTCTACTGCTGGATAAGTAAAGATATAGGCCTGCAAGAGCTTGAAATTCAGATGAAACGGATAGAGGATGGGAAGAAGGATGCGTCTGCCACAGAATTGAGGCCCAAGGAGATCAAGTGACTTGATCCTGCCTAGAGCAGGGGGGCTGAACCCGATGATCTTGCAAGGTCCCTTCCAGCCCCTAACAACTATGAATCTATGATCAAGGAAGCAGATGGGAAAGCCCAAGTCCTACTACTTGAAGCCCAATCCTGCTCCTTGAAGTATCCCCCAGCCGAGACTTACTACCGGAGAGTTTTTCAGCTGAGTCTTACAGTTAGTTTATGCCAGCGTCATTGTTAAGGGAAGACCTATATTGGAAAACCCTCATTATGGGTGGGAGAGAACTGGCTTTTTGTTAAAATGCATGTCTTTACCTGCTGGTAATGAAAGTTACCTAGGCCAGTATGGAAAAACTTGAAGAAAACGCATTCATAAGTTTCATTATTAAATTTACTAAAAACTAATATGAATGAAAACCATTTTATCAGCAGTTATTAACACAAAAGTGGTCCACAGCATATGCAGCCATCCCCAACTACTGATCACCTGCACTTAAAGCATAAGCGAACACAGATACATGTGTGCACCATCAACAAACTGATTATTTTTTCCAAGCCATCGTTTGTGTTGTCATGGTGCAGTTTCTAAAAAAAACAGGAAAAAGTGAATGCTGTAAATGGGACCTACTATTTTGACTCAAGCAGTCTCAGCTTTCCCATGAACCTGTTAGATAAAATGTTGCACAACTGAAAATCAGTTTATCAGATTTCTTCCTATAGCATCCAGTTCCTAGCAGGCGCCTCCTCTGACTGTTAGCCTTTAACTGAAAAGGTCTGATATGTTCTTGGCATCTTGAACTACCCATTTGTTCACTCCTCCTAAGGGTGTTGCTCAGGTAATAAAGTTACTGAGCAACTTTTTAATCCTTTCATCCTTTTCACAGACAGCAAATATGCCTCCTGGTAACAAACAGGGAAGCATTTGAAAGAAAAATCACTCCCTAGGAAACTTGCTGGAAACAGGAATTGCCTCTCTTTCCAACCCCAACAGCCAAAAACCTGAAAATGGCTACAAAGAAATGAAAAAAAATTGAGCGTGAATTAACTTTCTTCCTTAGCACAAGACAGCAGGGAGTTCTGGTTGCGTAAAAGGCTTCTCCCTGCCCTCCAGCCCCTGTGGTTACTCATCTCATCTCTCAGTTGAAGTCCTTTGAGAGACACACCCAAGTTTTCTTTCTTTTTGAACCCTTCCTGTTAGCTATCTTGTATAGAGATTAGCACGCTGTGCCAGGAAACCTTCCCTGCTCCTCTTTCCTTACTTTTTACAGGAAGATTTTCAAGCTGATAATGCTTTTTCTTGTGGGAGACTTTTCCATGCAACTCTCTTCCTTAACAAATCAGCAGCCCCCACAACTTGGCTTTTCTGACAGCTGCTCCTCTTTTCCAGATAAAATAGGATGAGAAAAATTTTTAAAAATGTTCGTTTTCTAGATTAATGCATAGATTAATAGATATGAGGAGCTGTAAGGGACCTTGCAGATCATCGGGTCCAGTCCCCCTGCATTAGGCACTAGAAAGATATTCTGTGTTCAAACATAATGAGTGGACTGCACACAATACATGCTCACGGTGGTTATAATCTAAAGATCACCTCCATACCCTTTCATTTCTACCCAGGAGGACTTTTACAATCCTTTCTCCTATGCCTGAAGAAGGGTGCTTGTGCCTGAAAGCTTGCAATTAAAGAATATTTTTTGCAAAGATCTAGTTGTTCTAATAAAAGATATCACCTCTCCCACGAGCTCTGATTCCATACACTTTCTATTGTTCTGTACTCATCAGTTCTTTTATCATACCCAATCCTACAAACAAGTACACACGTGTCACTTTACTACCATGAAGAGTTCCAGTGAACTCCAGTGCTTCTCCTTTTCCTCTGTGTCAAACACGATCCCCCCCGC